TTATAAATTTTAAACAGTTCCCTTTATACTAAATTCTTTCATTCGAAGATTATACATTTAATTTTCGGTTAATACCTTTGTATACATTTTGTAAGTTTGAGTCACGATTGACCCAGTCTCTGCCGTTCAAGGATTAAGCGAACGTATCAGATAGTATGGAGCAGGTATCGAATGTAAATAGAGGTCGGTTTACTTTTTCATTAACGTCTGTTAATCAAACACAGGTTGTTTGAAATAGAATGGTGGAATATCAAATGAATTATCGTAGACTCTCGTTACATTACCACTTGAGCGATTTAATATTCTCACTGATTTTCAAGCATGCCAGTGCTACTAAAATGATACAACTTTATCTCTTTTTCCCCTTTCAACCGAAAGTTTGGAAGTTTTACAAATTTTCTACCGCTACAACTCCGTTTGTGGCAATATAACGAGAGTCTTCTGCAATTTCCCTATAATGTTGATTTTCGCAGCAAAAACACACCAAGTTTAATTTTGTTCAAACCACATTTTGCTAACTTTTGATTCGAAAGATATCTCTGTCATAAATCTTGAAAGCCTAGTAGTAAAGCTAATTAATGCAACTTTTGATATACAAACTTTATTCATTAATAGGTACACCTGTGTAAAATTCTGCAATTTTGTTGGAAATACTCTGTTCAACTGTGTTTTGGATTGCTTCGTTTAGTCCAGTCAAATATTTTGCAGTTTGAATTCACGTTTCATAAGCTTTGAAAACATCATTGAATTCATCGAGAGAATGGAGATTTTGAATGTTATAATTACTTTTTCCTAGAATACTTCACAAATGACAATATGCAATATCGTGAAAAAAATGTCCGCTTCAAATCAGTCAATAGCAGAACGTGACGAGACTGTATAAAACTAGATGAGTGATTTTTTTTTTTTTTTTTTTTACCCTCGTGTTCACGTGGTAGATATTACTATTGAAGAAGAGAGGAAACGAGTATTTGTTATAAAATGATATTTCAGAACAATATGAAATAATTCCGTTTATTATTATATTATTTTTCTTATTTTTATTTTGCTCTGTTAGATGGAAAATATAAAATTTGCAAGCATTATTAAGATATGATACTGCTAAGATTGTCACATATTTTGAACTTGTTTTTCATAGTAGTTAAAAAGTAATATTTCATGTTGATTTACACGAGGGAAGAAGTATCTCTTATCGCATCGGTAGAGGTCGATAAAATTTTAACGAAGCCGCCCCACTGTGTTTGCGAAAGCGTCAAGCGGAAGTTAAAGTTAATCATGTTACGAACACTCTCGGAAGTTTGCTACCTTCAACCTATCAACGTCTTCGTGTTTGATCAAAACAAATACGAGTGATGGATCTAATTTTCTGGATATTTAACAGGAATTTCTCATTAATTCGAATATTCCTCGAATAAATTACAATCGTTCTTTTCCATCGTTCATCACCATTTGTTACTTCTAATTAATTTTCACGCTATGCAAAAATCATGAACAAACGATTGTAAGATTAAACTGTTTTTAAATACGACATCATAGGATGAAACAGAAAATAAACATACACCTATGTAGGTATGTTAAGAGAAATTTAAAGTGTACGACGACCAATCTAGTCTTACCCCCCACTCCTTACATATGAGTTCACGAGCTCGGCATTAATGAATTGAGCCGAGGACAGTTTCTCATTCGTTTCGGGGACGTCGAAGGGGAAGGATCTATTGACAGGTCTGCGTTAATCTTTTGGACATTAGCAATTACATATATTTGATCACATTTCTTATTTTTATTTGAAAACTGTTTTCATTAACTCTACTGTTATTAATATTTGCATTTGATTTTCATACATTTTTATTATTAATTTGTTATAGGTTACTTTTATTAGGATGCTGGTACTGGTACGACGCCATGCTACGCACTATTTTGGTTTCAGTTAACAATTCATTAACGGTTGATGGTGTACTAATTTGAACTGATTATTAGGTATTATTAATTATTCATTATTTATTATTACTAATTATTCTTTATTTATTATTATTAATTATTCATTATTTATTGAATCGTCGTTAATTGCGAACATGAAGTACAGTTTCATATATAATTGGTTCAAAATATGTACTCTTTCTTTATTTCATTTTATTTTTTTTTTTAATTACTCGTTATCGGTATTAGAGCCAGTGCACCACTGAAGAGGATATCTTGAGTGATGCTCCAAAGGGTAGAAATGTAAGTATCATTTTATTTTATTAAATTATCTTACAATTTCATCATTTGATAAATTTTTTAAATTGTTATAAAATTGCTAAATTTCGAATTTATGTATAATGTTATTGGAATTAATATTGAAGCTTTAATTTTTAATTTTTTGGATTAATTTTAATTTAGAAGCTACTAATTTTGTGAAAATTTCCTAACACACTTATTTCAAAAATAATAACCAGTAATAATAAATAATCAAAATATCGTTTATTTTGTTACAGTTTTCACAAAATTCATCGAGCTGACTCAATTTTCCGTTATGGTTTCCTTGATGACGTCCCCAAGGAATCTTTCCGGGTAGCAGTCTCTTCTTCAAGGTCTCCAAGGTATTCAACCTGCTGTTTTTCTGCGATCGGTGAGTCGCATGGTTTATAATTCCTCCGGTGCTCAATCATGTCGTAGGACGAAAGGTCCGAATCGGCACGAGTGACTGGTTGTATATGTGGTTTGGCGAGTATAGTGACCATGGGTATAATAATTATTATACTCATGAGTAGTAACTTACTGTGTTTTATTTCTTAGTTCAGACTTCTTGTATCTCGCGTTTAATAATAAGTTATTAATATATTCAAAAAGATATTTAAGAAATACTCTATAAATGTTAATTTATCACAATTTTTCATTAAAACTTAGAATACAAGTAAATTATTCTACTATTTAAATGACTATTTTTCATCTTCGACTTTATCTCTGCAAATGATTGCAATTATACATGTTAATTAGGTTTGATGTTAACTTACATTAATTACTGATTTAATGATCTTTTTTATACTGCATACCTCTATGCAATTAGAGAATTTTGCATAACTACAGATGCATATCAGAACATAAATTCAGTTCGTATTAAAATGTTATTTATGCACTTGATCGTGAATATTGATATTTTATGTGCAAGAAGACAATTATTTGCGACGAGTAGATTTCCAAGTCAGAGTGAAACCCTTGAACACCTTTTATGTATTCTTGAATTACACTGACAAGGAGGTCGCTCGAGGATGTTTAATCATTTTCTAATTTTCAAAATAACTTCAATTTTTTCTTACCTTTTTAATTATGTAAAGTCTCTGCATTTCTTAAATTAATTAACGTCTTTGCTTCTTTTAAATAAATTAAAGTCTTGTTTATCAATTTAATGATACAAAGTCGAGTCGTTTTTCTTGATTAAAGACTTTTTCCTTATTTTTAAATAAATTAAATTCTTGTTTTAAATTTCAAAGTAGAGTCATTCTTCATTGAATCCACTAACCTTTAGATATTTCTGTATTAATCATTCTATTTTTAGCTCAGGATTTTCAGGTTTAACCCCTTCCGTGTGCATTACTGAAGCCCATTCACGTGCTGAGGTGCTACTTGAATGGGTGGAGGTGAGGTGCACGATGACGTAGTTCATAAGAATCATAATTAATATGCGACCGGCACTGTGTTAGTGTATCGTGCACGACGTATTTTCCACATGAGTGTATGTGTGTGTGTGTGGTTAGGTTGTGGAATTGCGTCGGTTTAGAAACCTTTTCACTTAATTTTATAATTTGAATAATATCTTATTTAGATATTACTATTACTACTTCTATCACTATCACTAGCAGTATTACTATAACTATCTTTATTACTACTAAATAATTAATATTCGCAATATTTATAAACAAACTCAATTATAATAATACGCAATGATCGCTAGCCTTGCCAGTCGATTACAGGAAAACGGTATGTACACTTAGAGTGTGATGTGTGATGAAACTCGAGTGACGGAGGCGTCCCGGGACGTTCTCCCTAGTGTAGGCTCTTGCGCCCGGGTGGAGTGTATGAGAATCGTGGAATGAATTTTTGTGAGACTGAGACTTTGCCATTTTTTAAATATAGGGTTAGGTAGGTAGGTAGTATATCTTCTGGTGTGTGTGATAGATTGTAAGTAGGTAGGGCCGGGACAGGTTGTCACAGTCTCTTGGTCGGGTAGGCGCGATTTCGCGTGATCAATCTGTACCTGAAATATGTTTGCCGTTCGCCATCGATTCTATCTGTACAATTTTTCAAATTTTTGGCGACTTCATAAGTCGTCATACGCGATCGCGATGGCACGAAACGCACAATTTCTGCTCGAGCACGGCACGTGTGCACGAACAACGACTTATATAAAGTCCTTTTTCGTCCACGTGTCAATTAGAATTTCGCGATTTTTCTTTTTTGTTGATTGTTTTTTTTTTTTTTTTTTGCGAATTTGCAAGTCTCGAGCTCTAGATATAAGTTTCAGGTGGGTGGACCGCCCGAAGAAAGAAGAGGCTATATGCCGAAGCGCCCTGACAAACTGTCTTTCAAGAGGGGAACTATTAATGATTTTGCATCCTTTTGCAAAAAAGGATGGAAAACCATTATCGTTACTACTTTGTCACTGTGCTCGCCTGTAGTTGTAGTTTTGTAATTGCAGGAGAAGAGGGGGCCCGTGACCCCTATGATTTTGGTTCAATTTAGTGTTGCGTATGCATGATTATCGCGATTTTCATTTAGTGTTGCGAACTTTAAATATCGCGTTTCTTTCTTGCATTGCTTTAAAATAGAATTTAACTTTTCAGTGTTGATTAAGATTTTTTAGAGTTCTGCTTTTTAATGTTGATTGCTTTAGTGTTACGAATAAAAAATTCACGGTTTGAGAACCCCCTTTTTTGCATTTTAATTGCATGTCTGTTAAAGATAGCGTTGCGAATGACATCAGTGCGATTGTTTCCTAGTGTTGCGACTTATAAATACGCAATTGCTTTGCATTAGTTTATAGAATCCCCTGCTAATTAGTGTTGCGATAATGAATATTCGCGTTTTGCATATTAGAGTTGCGATATATGATGAAATGCCCAAAAACGATCCAGTGGAGCTGCCATGGACCATGAGACAACTTTCGACCAGCTGCTGAGGTGCAGCCTTGGATTGGCTGTACCACTTTTTTAGATTAGTGTTGCGTCTTCCAAAATTCGGTAAATTTGAGTAGTGTTGCGTTACAGTTCGCGTTTTTTCTTTTTCCTTTTTTTCAGCTTAGCGTTGCGTATTATAGAGCAGCCTTCACGTGTATGCTTTTGTATTATAGAATTCATGAAATTTGCGATTGTTATTAAATTTTTTACTTTTTTGCATTGTAGATTTTCAGGAGATACTGTTTTTTTGGCAAATCGCGGTTTGAATTAGTGTTGCGAATATTGATCTCGGTTGGAGATAGTGTTGCGAACTTCAAGTAAACGCGTTTGTAGATATTTATTTAGTGTAGCGAATAATGGATACGCGATTGCTTTTTAATATTTTATATCAGTAGCTTTTTTTGCAATTTGTAGATTTTTATTTACCGTTGTGTTATTAAATATCCACGTTTTCCATTTAGTGTTACAAACTTGAACATTTGTGATTTTTCATTTGATTTTCTATTTTTAGTTTTGCGTTATTGAATTTTCGCGCTTTTGCATTAGTGTTGCGTCTTTAGGTTTCGCGTATTTTCAGCACTGGAAATTGTTCTGGACCACATCATAACCATGGATGGCTGCATCAAATTGCTATGCAGCTATGCATCTTCAAAATTTTTAATTTACAAAAAATTAAAATTTGTCTGCTTGAATAACTTTCTTCTTGAAAGAAATAAAGTAATAGTAAATGACATGGCAAAGAGATTTAGTAGCTTCTAAGCTTTCTTCTTGTTCAATTCAAGGGACTAATGAAGGGGATTTATCAAATTAGTTCCAAACCATTGTTCTCGGAGAGTATCGAAAATATAATTAACCGGATCGAGATAATACCACCTCTGAGCGTACAAAGTTTCCTTCCTTTTCTTGTTGCACTTTAATTGGCTGATAGCGATTAAATGCTTGCAACTTGTTTCAACCTTCCAAGCTCGTTAATTAATATTTAGGAACCTTTGTTAGATAAATATATTCTGCAGTGACGAGTGCAGATAATTGTATATGAAGGAAAAAATTTTATTGAATTAAAAGTTTTTGTTTAAAATAAATTTGTATTAAATCATAATTTTTATAAAAATTTTCCTTAAATCTTTTGAAACTAGAGAAGTTAATAATAGACTGTTGAAAACAGATAATATACCAAGTTCGCCTTTGTCTTCTTCATGTATCATTTTCAATGTAACATCAAACAGTTTAAATTGAACGAAATCCACGAGCCTTTTACGGCCTTGCTTGTCCAAGTTAACTCCCTTTGAAACATCCTGCTTTAAGCCATGTCTGCTTATCCTGACAAGGATTCTCTGTTAGTCTCCGAACATCCTCCGATCCCTGAAGAAGCCAGCTACAACGCTAGTGAAACGTCGGGAAAATCCACATCGAGTCTTCCGAAATCCTTGAACCTGAGAGGACAAAAGGAGGATAATCTTCAATCGATATCCGAACATCAGTATAAAATCTTATTGTAATCCCAACTATCCATATACACTCAGAAGAGTATAAGATGAACAGTGTAATATGTTAAATTATTGCATCTAGACAAAAAGAAGGAAAAATTGTTTTCACCTCTTTCAACCAAGAGAAAATAAAAGGAAACGGAGCAAGAGCGAAGACGAAGATGGTTGTTTTGCACCAAGTGAAATCCAATTTCGAAGTGGAATCGGATTTTCGCGAATCACTGAGACTGGGTTTACGTGATTCCTGAGGCGAGTTGTACAGCCGTCTTTCACACAGAAAGAGATGCTAGCAATGGTTCACATCGAACAGAAAGGAACAAACGCGGTCGCTGAGAGAAGAGGATGTTGGAAAGCATCGGTGAAAGCTTTGATTAGGCGGATTCCTGTCTTATCCGTGAGATCAAGCGAGCGGATATGGAAATTGAAGTTCATGAAAAATACGTGATGTCGAAAGAAAGCAGTGATATTGGCCAACGGTGCTCACCGAAGGGAAAAGCATCTTGTGGATTTTGGAATATCAGGGCAGAAGCTGGATCGCGATTTATAGGGTATGGAAAATTACATATGAAATTCAGTAATTGAATAATTAGGAAAAGAAATGAGAAGGAAAAGTTTTGGTAACTTTGATATTCTACAATTACAGGATATCAGAATTCAAAAGTTTCCAAAATTCCAGAATTTCTAAATTTTAGACTCCCAAAAGTTGAAAATTTTTAAATTTCTAAATTTCCAAAAGACCTGGCTCCAATCCAATGAATATTTTACCATCTGATAAATAAATTTTATTCTTTTTTATGTAATGGGAAAAATAGGTAAAATACGAATTTATGGACTGATCTGATATTTGAATAACGAATAAATCGTATAAATAAACAGTGATCGAAATGATATGAAATCAATGCAATATCGAACTCTTCGAATACCATGAATATTTATCGGTACTGTTCCAATTACTATCCATAAGTGATCAATGGGAAATTTATGAAGTTCCCTCGAAAACAGGGAAGAATCGTGGTGAGCAACGAAAGGGAACGTGAATGATAGATGACAAAGGGAAAGATCGAACGAATACGAGGGTAGTGTATCAGAACGGACGAGGGAAAAATTCGGAGATAAGTTTGTGGGAGCGTCGAGGAAACGCGATTGAACAACCACTTTGGAAAAGTTTTCGAGCTATCGAGGTTTCGATTGTGCGAGATTTCGCGAGGCTTGACGAGAATTTTGATTTTTTCCACCAGTATTCTTGTTCTCTTGCTCAGCTTGAGAGAAGAGAAAATTGCTTTTTGGAAGTTTCTTTTCGAACGTTGATAAGGGTGAGCGAGAAATGTCTTGTTAATCTGAACTGTAGCTCTGGGATAGGGTTGAGTTTTATGATACTTCTGAAATGCGAGCAGTTTTTGCTTAGATGCCGAAAAAGAAATTGATTGAGTGGGAGTTAACCTTTTATATTTGATGTACTTTTTCTTAACTGACTATGTTTGATAGTCGAAGAAAATTTATTGATATAAAAGATCTTTTTTGTTTTACTTTGTACTAGCCATTTCATTTATCTTTGATATTTTTGTTAATATAAAAAATTTCGTAACACAAAATTGATTAGTTCAAAATGATAAATACTGTAATTTATGCTTTCGTTTTCAAAGATTTTTTATTTTAGAGTTCTTTTTCTAATAAAGTTGATAAATTAATTTTTCCTTCAATTTGTATGTTGATTTTATCGAAGCAAAAAAAAAAACTTTTATATTGCTTTTAATTGTAATGCTTACAATTACTTGCAAACATTGATAGAATCAATTAGCTTCGAAACAAAAACACTTTGGTTAAAAAGTTTAGTGAATTTATAATTTCAATTGTGTTTTAAATTCCTGGAGACGCTTCGTTGTTTGAAGTTTCCTAACCAATGCAATGAAAATTGCACAACAATAAAGTCGGGACTTCTGTTCTTGATTAAATCGTCAAACTTCATGAATACGTTTCAAAGTTTAGGAATTTCCGGTTGCACTGATTTAGCGATAAAATCGCATCCTGAAGATTCTTGAATAATTACTTTGAACGACGATTGAGACTTAGAATTTCAAGGCAAGATCTCCGTTTGTTTGATGAATCTTTTATAAATACACACTAGGCTCTGGTATAGAGATTATAAATGTAAGAGGTAGTATATAATGCACTAAGCTTCGATTGTGAATATATAATTGATTCCCAAATTACACGGTTTTGATTAACCGTGTTCCCAGTTTTTCCAATTTTAAAATTTTCCATGTGCCAATTTCCAGATTTTCTAATTTTTCTAATTTCCCAAGTCTTCAATTTTCATCTTTCTCTTTTTTCCATTTTCTAATTTTCCAAGCTTCTATTTTTCAAATTTTTTCAATTTCTAATTTTTCCAATCTTACAACTTTTCAGTTTTTCCAGTATTCCAATTTCCCATAATTATTTCACCAATGCTTTTCAAATCATTTCACAAAAATGATACACATAACAATCTGAAGTTTTCTGAGAAGAAGTATCTTTCTTTCATCGATAATATTCGTCCATGATATTCACTGAAATTAAGAAACAAACGAATCGAAATATCAGAAGTTTCGCCGAGAAATTAATCATCCCGAGAAGAATTGTTCGAATTTTCTGGAACACCAGTTTATAACTGCCGGTCCGATTGTTCCATTTTTCTCCGGTATAATTGTCGTACTTTCTGCTTCGAAAGAAAATTAATGTTAGTTCTTGAAGTTTCGTAGATATGAGAGTGCAGTCTCCAGTAGAATATATTTGATGAAATATCAAAAGAAACGGAAATTCTCTCGCCAGCTATATTTTGAATCTACGTGTTCTCTTATACTGTACAGGCTCCTTGAATAATGTAACAACTTCAGAAACATTTTGCTGAAATCTTTAAAGTATGTTGTAATATTCTCTGCGTAAATCGGACAGCTCCAGTTATTGACAAATGTCAACTCTTTCTTCAGTTAACAGGAAATTAGCTGTCAATTCGAAACAAGGAAGTCTAAGAAAAATGATAGATTAAAAACGACCTTTTTTTTCTAGTACAGAGAATGAATTATTGTTTGTAGAAGACGTTCTGCTGTTTCTAGTTTAATATTGAACTATAAAATTTCTCGATTTTTTTATAAAGGCTTCTTTAGATGTCTGTTACCATTCTACATGTTTATCTCGTTGAAAGTTTTTTCTGATATTTGGGAATAACGTTTCAAGTGAATGGGAATGGTTATATTTTTTTTCCAGTTTTGCGTTTCTCTTGCGTATCTGTTGAAATATCACGTCAATCGCTTGTATGTTTTCAAAGGTTATCTATTTTGTCGTATTGATTATCGTAACAAAATATTGTAAAAATCGTCCATGCTTTTGGACACGACCGAAGATATTGTCAGTAAATAGGTTTTATAAATTTTCGTAGAAATTTTTAAACGCCTTTTTCTTCTTTAAATTTAAAAATTTTGAAATTGTTTTAATTGGTATTTCTTTTCATAGAAATTTCTAAACACCCTCCAAGTTTTACTTATTGTTAGATTTTTCAATTTGTTATTTTATTACATTTCCAAAACATTAATAGCACTTGAAATTCTTAAATTTTACTTGGCAATCAAGTTAATATCCTAGGAGCAATCTAATCGCACCACCGAAATGAGATTTCGTTGTTCATTAAACAGACAAAAACGAAACCCTTAATCTTCGACCTGTTCTTCAGCAATCCCTCCATTTTAACTAAACCGTTCCATCTTCTACCGACTGTTTATGCTTTCAGGTTAAACGCACATCTCGTTTCCAGGGGTTGGAAAGTAAGCAAAGAAACAGAAGATTTCAATGGTTTTAAAGAAATCTCATTAAAAGCGTAATTATAATTTCGCCAACAGTGTCGTTGCAATAATAAAGTGTTTCGCTTATGGTAGAAAACACAACGTTTCATCTTACGTTTCTCATTTATCATTTCTCTTCCTTGTTTTGTTTCATTCAGTATAGTAATTTTTCTCAGCTCTGTAAGAGCTTTTTTCTTCTACCAAATGACTCGTGCTTCTCCAAAGTGTTTCCCTTTTTTCACAATAAACGATATGTCGTGCATGCTATAGAGAATGGTGTAGGAAATAAATAAATTGCAATCTGAGTGAATGTTGCACCGACACGAACGCTGCTTGCAAATTGAGAATTACCTTAATCCTTTGCTTTATGATTTCTTTTTAGGATTTATGTTTGTTAGGGATGATTAATTAATTTGCAAATGTTGAAATCGTATTATTTGAGAAATAATGTTTTTAAATTATCATTTTTCAAAATAGTGCTCCCAAATTATTATTTTGAAATAGATAACTTTGGGTATTAATAGATTCAGATGAATAAAAAATTCATGTTTAATGGTTTTTCATTTTGTAAATTTTGTTTTTCGTTATTTTAAATTATAATTAGAGTTTCGTATTCGTGATTTCACTGTATCAATTTTTGCAATTATTTTTTATTATTTAATATTTAAAATTCAATTGTATTACCCATGCTTGTTATGTTTAAATCGCGTTATTATAAGACAAGAGCTTAAATACCGTCTTACCAGTCTAAAAGCTGTGACGGGTGAATACGGTAATTTAGCACACTTTGATGATCGTTTCGTCACTGTAATTGCGCTTTTTGGAAAGTAGGCACTATTTTCTAAAAGTGTTGCACTCTGACAATTAGAACACGTTTTCACGTGACAGTTAATTGCAACATTTTGCCGTAACAAGTAGAAATAAAAAGCCTGTAAAATGTGTAAAAATTCTAGCTGAACTCCTTTCAATTAAGCTTCTCGCGTTGATTAAGAATCTTCCAGTTATGAATTGGAGATGAAATTTACCATCGAAGTCAATTTGAAAGTCAACAGTGAACATTTTAATAAATCCATGATTGAATCGATCGGATGAATATGTGTGGAAAGAATTCCTGCTTTAAACATATAATAAAATTATTTCGCTATGTCCCTTAATTCACTTTTATTTCACCGAAGCATCGCTGGAATTTAATTAATATTTCAAACACGTACACGGGATTATACACAACGACGTATTTTCCGTAGAAACTAAAAATACAACCGAGAGATGGATCGAACAGAGGGATTTTCCGTCGACAACGTGGAACCAAAATATGCGTGTTATGCTTATCAAATTTCCGCAAGCACAAAACAAGATACCTATTTCGCCTGTCCTTTTGTTTTCCCAAAATTCTATCCCCCACGTGGAAGGTTTTTTTATTCTACTTTGGAGAAACGTAATGGTAACCATTCCCGCAGGGTCTCCATCTCGTGTAATTTACGCGTTTCGAAAATTGAAGAGGATTTGTCGAATCCGGAGGTAACGATAAATCTTCTCCGGATCGGAGCTTTCACTATTGATGGATGTGTGACGGATTCATCAGTGATTTTCACTGATAGATAACAAAAGAAAAGAAATTTTTCAGATTAAACAGGTTCTCCTTTCTTTCACATCGAACTAAGTACATTGACAAGAAATGCAATTCCCATTACAAGCTAATCAGATTTTGAAATGAAACGACGGAATTTAATTAAGTGTGAACAGGATCACAGTTCGGGTTCAATGGCATGGAATTGATTAGGA